CTATCTGAGCACGGGATATGTGGACGATCTTACGATCGGGAACGGGGACACGAACCTCCGCATGAGAAACGTGGAAATGCGGGAGAAGGGCGACTCAGCAACATGTGGCGGTGAGCTCCCAGAGCATGCGAGTCCATGAGCGGAAGCAGACAAGGACGAAGAGGACGTGCCCGAGGGAGCAGCAGCAGACGTGGGAGACACATCATCTCCATCAGTAGGCCCAAACGTGAAAGTGGGACCAGTTGGGGTAGTAGAATCCGGAATCCCTGACGCTCCCGTTACTCCTGAGGAGCTGGCACCAGGCAAAGTAACCGTCAGGTTAGTGCTAGTACCAGCTGCTTTGCCTGGCGCAGCTCCCCCCCCTGCCACAAGAATCGCTGCAGAAGCAAATGCTTCTGACGCAGTCACCGCTGCAAAGCCTGCTGCACTCAAAGAGCGGGACATGGACCTGCGCGAAGTGACAGTAGCAGCAGTGCCAGAAGCAGCGCTCCTGGCCTTGCTGAAGACACCACTGCGACGGGCATCGCTGCGACCCGCAGGATCGTCTGAAAGCCGGGGCTTTCCAGTGCCGTTGCCTGCTGCTGCGTTGCTCAACCTCCCTGCCGCCACTGCCGTTGCTGCAGTTGCTACCGAGGAGCTTGGTCCCGGGCCAGCAGCAGATGAAGCTGCCGCGGCTTGCGCCACTTGCTGTGCCTCGACTGCTGCTCCATCACCAATCACAGGAACAGCAACAGCAGAAGCAGCAGCAACTGCAGCAGCGGCGGCACCAGGGCTTGTGGCGGTGGCAGCAGACGCAGCGGCAGCAAGAGCAGCAGCAACATCAGCATGAGCGCCAGCCGTTGAGCCGTCAGCGACGGTGATGGCCCATAGCTGAGTGGCATGGAGCAACCTGAGGGGCACGGTGTGAGTAGGGCGGACAGGAATGGAACACAGTGAGCACGGTGGACAGGAGTCAACAGAAGGAATGGAAGAGCACTAATCCCAGGACAACGTGAAGGAGAAAGGAGAAATCGGAAAACGGCACTGGTTGAACTCGTGACGTTGAACGGGAACCCATCAGCACCGTGCATCGCGCTGCCAGGCCGCCCAAGGTTAATAGCAGCTTAATTCGGTCCTGGCGTACCTTTCACGAATGGCGTCCAGTTCCGAGTACTCCATGGCGTTGCGCCGTCTCGAGCTCGCCGACAGCCGCGACGACCGCCTCCTGCCGCCATTGCTGCTGCGCCGATCGCTGCCGCTCGGATCCGTCAGCGCCGCGCTCCATTCCGACTCGTCGCCGTCAGGCCCGCCGTCAGTGGCGCCGCGACTTCCGCAAGCCTGGCTCTGGCCGACACCCGTCGCGCCGCCTCCCTTTCCTCCTCCTTTGGCGCCGGCGGTGACGTTACGACCTCGACCCCCTGATCTTGCGGCTTCCTCGGCGCTGAGCATCCACGCGTTAAAATCCTCTTCTTCCTCCTCCTCCGCATGATTGCCCTCCGCGTTAGTAGTAGTAGTAGCGGCCGCCGACGCCGATGCCGACGGCGACGTCGTTGCGGCAGCCGCTGCTGCTGCCACCGCAGCGCCAAAAGCAAGAGGATTTCCCGCATGGTATGAAGACTTGTGGCTAGTAGCACAAACAGAAGTCTGAGGCTGCGAAGCTGGCGCGACTGGCGCGGGTCGAGAGTAAGAGGAGGACGTGCGGGAGTAGGTGACAAGCCAATCATCCCCGCCGTCCTCCTCCTGCTGCTTGTCGTCGTCGCCGTCGTCGTTGACGCCGTCGTCGTCGTCTTCGTCGCACGGAGCAACGTGCTGATTGCCGAAGCACCCGCCGTGACTTTTCGACCGCCAAACACCCCCACCGCCGCCGATTGCGCCGTCGGATCGATGCGGCGCCGGCGGCACGGCGGAAAGCGGCTGCCGCGGCGGCTCTTTTGTTGACAAATGACGCGGCTCCGCAGCTGTGGGGCGTAGAGACGGCGAGCAGAGAGCGACAGCTGGTGTTAGCGCCATCAGCGGAACGGGAGGGGAGAGCGAGAAGTCTCCGCCGCCCGCGACCGTCGCGGATGCATGAAGAGGCGAATGATGGCGAGGAGGAAGGTGGTGATGGTGAGCCGTTGCGGATGCATCGGCGAGTGTGCAGGACGGAGACATTGGCCGCTCTTAGTAGGGGCTAGCAACACAGCTGCGGCGGAGTAGACCGAGATTTTAGATGGCGGTTGTGCTATCCGAGAAGAAGGCTGGTAGTTGAACGAGGTTGCACTAAATGCGCTCTTCTCTGCGTGAAACCTCCAGCTCTCGAATTCTGGACGCGCTTCAATCCAGGAATCTTTCGCGGCAGATGCGTTGAAGACGGAACAATCCTTCGGTGGAAGTGAGTCCAAAACGCGGCTGGTCGAACTCCTCGGATTGACGGAGTACGAGAGAAAACCCAAACGCAACCGCGCGCGCTGATGGATAGTGGCGGGAATATGGCCGAATACAAGATTGTTCGTCGTTGCTTTTATGCTCCAATCCCAGTAAACATAGGGAACGGAGGTCTTGTAAAATTGATGGCTGGTGTAGAGTGCCTTAACGCCGCGAAAAGTAAGTGGAGGCCGCTTCAGAAGAAGGACGACAGCCTTATCTGTACCAGTGAATTAATGGAGAACAGTGGAACGATCAGTCCAGACGAGACTAGCTCTGTGGTGGAAATCCCAGTTGATAATGTGAGGTCCTTTTAGAGCGAGGCCAGAGACCAGTAAAAGTGGACAGCTGATTGTTTGCCATTGCGCGCAGCTGAATGAGTGAAGGTGGGGAGGGGAGGGAAGCCGAGTGGAGGAAACACTGGGCTGGGGGACGGGGAAGGCGGAGAAGCGGGGAGTGGGAAGGGGGGAAGGCGATGGTGGTGGTGGTGGTTGCTTTGAGATGGACTCGGGGTTGAGGGAAAGGGGTTGGGGTGAGGGGCAAATGGGCTGGTAGGGGGAGCTGGGGGGAAGCTGGGGGAGATGGCGATCCGAGGTCGTGAAAAGGCAAGGGAAGGGCGTGCGATTCTGGGAGTCCAATCTAGTCCCGTAAAACTCGGGAAATTCAAGCAGATGAGCGGTAGAGAGGCGCGATGACAAGGGTGGAAGGCTTTGTTAGCCAATTGGGAGAGGGACAAAGGTCCACCTGGACGGCCACAGATGTACACCCTATCTCCACACATCAGCAGCCACATCAGCCCATTTGGGTGAGAGATATTGAAGCCAGAGCATCGGATGCGGGATCCAGCACTAGACCATGAAACAAATATGGTTGGTTGAACAATGTGTCCTTTCTGCGCAACTGACGCCCAGACAACGACAACGTACCAGATGCATTTATACGGGTACATTATATGTAGAATGGGGAGGGAAATCTGTTTCTTCGTTAAGAATTTAGAACCACCGGTGTAATTTACTTAAGGTGCCAGCGCCATGGACTTAGTTCTAAATTACATCGACGTGTATTTAGAACTAATTTATCTAATACCCGTGACATCTGTAATTTACTTAAGGTGCCCGTGTAATGGAAAATTCTGAGTTCAGTCGACGAAGTATCTATAAAGCGAGTATTCCACGGGTTTGGATATAGATGCAGTGCAAAACAAATGTACACCACCTGACGAACAGAAGATTCTTCGATCTGACCGGTCATGAGAAAAGGAAACCTCCAACAAAAATCAGACATAGCTGTGGCCGAGCCATAGGAATCCGACGCTGAAATGAGATTGGACAATTTCGGCCTCCAAATCCATCACTTCCGTAGATTTTACTCAGTGAGGGATTTTGATGAGTCACTGTAGTCGCTGCATTTCCTGCCAGCTTACCGGTCAACTGCACTGTTGTTTGTGGAGGAAATCTGAAGGCTGATACAGTCGGGGGGGGGATGTATGCTGTCAACATTGATGCAAATACAGCCTGGCACAATGGAATATCTTTACGGGGAAATATGCCCTTAGTAATAAACGTGGGCTGCGTTCTGTTGGCGCATTAGTAATGCGCCAACGACGGACAAGTTATGCGCTGGGAGGCTTCGGCGCAGGAGTGCACCCCCCCCCAAAAATTACCACGAATGGATGACCCGGGCGCGAAGTATCTGCGAGGCAAGCTCGAGGGTGTTTACGCGGGGGCAGACCCAAACATTTGAGAAGCATCCGCACGGATCGGCAGCACTGGCGCAATTTTTTATTTTGCACGTAACACAATTTGGTGCCTGCATCCAGCGGCCCGTTTCTTTGCTGTTAAAGCGACGGGCAACTTTTGGCAGTGTTGGGTTCAGAAGATTTTTTTTTGAACCAGGCTTGCCAGCGCGAAAGTGTTGGCTGGCGAAAACCAGGATTTCGTGCGGACACTTTCCATCCGCAGTAACAGTTCGCCAGGGTTCTGGGTTTTGGGTGGCAAATGTGCACCGTCGCTTTAACCCGTGGGTTCAGAAACTCGCCAAAATCGCACTTTCTCGGGCGTTTTCGGCTGCCCCGCACAACTTGTGCGCCCGCACAGCTTAATGCTGGGAGACAAGTGGATGGGACTCGCACAGGCAATGCGGGAGGTTTGCCTGTAAAACCGCATTCGTGGAATGTTCTGAGCGCCCATTCAGTTCAGCGTTTTTGTGCACGCATGAGTAATGCGCACCAGAGGTTAGGGTCACAATTACGATTTCCTCCGGCTCCAAGCCTTGTCACGCATGTTCCTGGTATATTCCCCGTTAGGGTTTCGCAAAGGCAATGCGCCAACAGAACGCAGCCATGGGGTTTAATAAATTGTGGGGGGAAAAAACCAGCGGAAACCTAAAAGAATGTTTTCACGTGTTTGATAAGACATTTCACGTGATCAGTTACTATTCGCTGGCGGATATTTACGCGAATAATCACTCACAATTATCTGGCGGAAATTCACGCGAATTAACGAAAATGACGAACCTTGTCTACTTGGATACGTAAAATGGCTCTTAAGATTCACTCTACTAGTTTTTTTTTTTTTTTTTTTTTTTTTATGATATGGTAATTGATAAACAAGGATTTTCTTAAGAGGTCTGTTATGCATAAATGCATCTTCTGTCAAGAACATAATGGAAAATTACCCATGAGGGAACAAAAATGGGGTATGCATAACATCGCATGCCCTCTAAAGAGCAACCCAACCTAGCCTACAAAGTACATATACCAATATATATGTGTACGTTGAGACACCCCCTAGGCCAGGTAAGGGGCAGTGTATAGAAAATGAGAATCACCTCAGGCGACACTACTAATCCAGCCTATGAGACAAGGGGGCATAAGGCCGGTTAGCAAGAAAAAAAAAAACACGTGTATGAGGTGTTAACGTGAATGGAGTGTTGGCCCCGCACTCGCTTGGGCAACGCCGACGACTTGGTCGGATGTACGGGAGAAGCAGCCGACCGTTCACAGCGGGAGAGCTGCTCGACGGGCTTCGTCGAGCTGCAGGGGACCTCTGTGGTGTTGCTGTCGACCAGGGAGCGAAAGCTGCAACTGACTGGTCTGGGCGACGGGTGGGCCGTCGACCAGGAGGTGCAGTTCGACCAGGAGGTCGACGGAGCAGTCCATCGACCTGGCAACTGAGCAGCGGTCGACGAGGGGAGCTCGGCGACATCATCTGCCAGTTCTGGTCGACGGAAGGGGTCCGTCGACCAGGGGGTAGCTCGACGGGAGCTGTGGTCAACCAGAGGGACCTGGTGGTCGACCAGAGGGACCCAGTTGTCGACCAGAGGCACTGGTGGTCGACCGGAGCACTTGGTGGTCGATTAGGTCGACCGGGTAACCTGTTCGACGAGTTCTGCGGAGGCACGCGAACGTCGTCGAGGTCGCGATGGCGAAGGCGACTTCGGGCTGGTATCCCGAAGTCGATGTGGCTCGTCAGGCGCAGACAACAGCCGACAGATGCACAGCAATGCAAGTCGGGCCAATCGTCTGCGCGCACCTGCGAGCGTGCGCACTGCTGTGTTCTACGGGGCAACGCTAGACAGCCGCTCTGCTGCAACGTTGGCACGCCGTCGACCTGCTCTATTGGCAGGTCGCCTTTCCGCAGTGCTGGCGCGGCTCCTCTACGCAACGCTGGCAGGCGGTCGACCAAGCTGTGCTGGCGGTCGACCAGGCTAGCTGGATGTCAGATTTATATGACATAGCTACTATAGGCTATAGTGGGGTAGCACATATGGGGTACAGTTTTCTAGGGTTTGCCTTTTGTACCCAACTTTCACTTAGTCATTTCATTCCTCGTTTCTTCTCATGGTATCGAGCAGGTTCCCTAGTGGGAACGATTCCTAGGGCCCACCACCACGAATTTTTTTTCCTGCCCAGAGCGCGCTTCGCTCCGGCCCGAGTCGCGCCCTGTGTGCTCTCCCTACCGTCGCGCCCTCGCTAGGCCCCTCACGGCCCCGTCGCGTCGCCCTTAGCGGCCCTCTCACGGCTCGTCGCGCCGCCCTTACGGCCC